TGATAACCCAGTTGGATGGAACAAAGTATGTTTCCTGGTCCACGAAGTGCAGTCTACTTCTGCGTAGAGAAGGGTTATGGGCTGCAGTTCAAGGTCCACCGAATGTAAATGCTTGGGATCCAAATAATGAGGATGATGCCAAGAAGCTTGCTGACTTTAAATAGAACAACGAACAAGCTCTTTGTATAATTGGACTAACACTGAGTGACCAGCAGCTAGTCCATATTCGTGGAGAAGAGTCTGCTGCTAAGTGTTGGGAGAATTTGAAGAGGATTTATATTCATGACAGTGTAGGTGCACACATACATCTTACACGTAAACTGTTTAGAGCACGTCTTCTGAAAGGTGGAGATATGTTAGCTCATTTGAACTTCATGAAAAGAACTTTTCAAGAGCTACATGAAAAGGAACTGACATTTTCAGAGCTGCATCAAGTTTACATCATTCTTTCCTCATTGGATGAAAGTTATGATGATTATGTATCTTCACTGGAAGTCCTGACCAAAGATGAACTGACATTGACTGACATAACCAGAAGGTTGTTAGAAGAAGCAAGAAGACGACTGGATAGGGACCAACTAAGGAAGGAACAACCACAAGAAGAGGATTTGTCTTCAACTGCCTATACTGTTAGGAAATGTTTTTCTTGTGGGTCTAGGGGACATATAGTTAGATTCTGTAAGAAGGGCAAATGACAGAATACTGGTAATTACCAGAAGGCTAAGAAAAATGTTAGTTTAGCTATGTCTAGCAATTCAACTGTAAACCATGATTTGTGGGTTGTTGATAGTGGAGCATCACAGTGCTTTACTATAGATTGAGGTTTGTAAAGATGTCTACGAGTAAGCAACATGTATCATTGGCAAATGGATGGAAGCTTAAAGCATCTGGTGAAGGTACTGCATATTGTTCCTGTGTAAATGAGCATTTAACTATGTTATATGTACCTAAACTGAAATTTAATTTGTTATCAGTAAGGGCTTTAGTTAATCTTGGTTATGTAGTAACCTTTAGGGGAGATAACTGTATAATACAGAAAGAGAGTAAAAGTGTTACTGCTACTTTAGAGAATGATTTATATGTGATACATGATGATCAGTTGAAGATGGCTAACTCGGTTTATAACAATGCTAAGCCACATGACGAATGTATACATTTAGTGCACAGACGTCTAGGGCACATTTATTTCAAAATGCTCAAACAAACTGTTACATTGTCAAAGGGAGTAAAATTAAAACCCTGTAGCAAGTATTTAAACTATAATGCCTGTAGCCAAGAGAAAAGCAAGATTATTCCAGCACACAGACTGAATGGGTTTAAGACCAAAGAACCTTTAGAGGTTGTTCTTGCTGACATAATTGGTCTTAAAAAACCTAGTTTGGGAGGTGCCTGCTATATTTTGAGTATAATGGCCATTACTCACGGTAGGGTTTCTGTATCTCATGAAAAACAAAACAGAAACATTCCAACATTTCTTTAATTGGCTAAGATTTGCTGAGAGAAAAATGAGGAGTAAAGTAATTACTTTAGTTACTGATAATGGGACTGAGTTTGTTAACAATAGATACCAAACACTGCTGAAATTGGCTGGTGTCCAGCATAAATGTTCGGCACCTTACAGACCACAACATAACTCGTTTGTAGAATGAAGAGGGCAAACGTTACAAGTCATGGCTCGCACTATGTTATCTGATTCAGGTTTGCCTGAAACACTGTGGGGTGAGGCACATATGTAGTTACCATGTTTTAAACAATGTAGTTAACACAACAACTGAAGAATTGCCATTCACTCATTGGCATGGCAGAAAACCAAATTTAAATTACCTACATACATTTGGAGCTCCAGCATGGGTGCATATCCCTCACAAGTAAGACTGAAAGGGCAACATAGAGCTAAGAAATTATTTTTTGTAGGTTATGAGGCCAACCATAGATCGTTTACATTTTGGGATCAAGGCATAGCTAATATTTACTGCAGTGCTAGTGCTAAATTTCTTGAGCACGTTGGGTGGAATAAACTGGAACAGGAATTCAGCAATGATATTATTATTGACACCCAAATAGTCCCTAAAGATAAAATAAGTAAACCACGAATAGCCATTAAAAAGGAAGAACAGGAGGAAGTAGGAGAACAGGAGCAGGTGGCACATGTGAATCCATCAGTAAGTCCTGTATTACCAAGACGTTCAACCCATGTAACATAACCACCTGATAGATATCAGGCTAGTGTTGTATGCCAAGTAAATACAGTTCCTAGTAATTATAATGAACTGAAACTGTATCTTGCTAAGGATCAGGCTGCTTGGCAGGAAGCAATGGATAAGGAACTGAAATTCTTACAAAAACTGGAGATATATGAAAATGTCAGGTTACTACCAGGTGAACAAGCCATAGGATGTAAATGGATTTACAAGCTAAAGACAGGTGTAGATGGGACTGTTACCCATAAAGCCAGGTTAGTAGCACAAGGGTTCCATCAGACAGCAAACGACTATGAGGAGGTGTTTGCACCTAGTCTGAAGGCTACTACATTACGAGCAGCATTAGTGTGGGCAGCTAAGGAGGAATACATTGTAAATCATTTAAATGTAGAGACGGCATATCTGAATGCACCGTTGCAACACATTATATATTTAAAGAAACCTTTAGGTATCAAAAATGATAATACAACTGATTGCTGGAGATTGAAAAAGAGTCTTTATGGCTTAAAGCAATCAGGATATGAGTGGAATCAATGTATAGTTAAGGAATTAACTAAGATAGATTTTGCAGCTGGCATGGCTGATCCATGTTTGTTTAAAAAGGAAAATAATGGTGTAGTGGCATTGTTTCTATTATTTACTGATGACATAACATTAATCACCAAAACTGAACAAGAAGCTACTAAAATAATGTTACTGTTAGAGAAGAAATTTAAGATAAAAAAGTTAGGTGAAATTAAACAATATCTTGGTTTAAAGATAGATAGAACTAGGGGAGGTTACAAAATCTCACAGGCAGATAAAATTAACCAATTACTAAAGAATTTTAAAATAGAACTTTGTAAACCGGCTAAAACACCAATGCGCCAAGAGTTCAGTCACAGTGATGTACAAAGTCCTGTTTTTGATAAAAACATTTATCAGTCCTTGATTGGTAGTTTATCTTATCTCAGTAATTGGTCAAGGCCAGATATAGCATACTGTGTGAACCAATTAGCCAGATTTTAATACTGAGCCAACTGAAAGGCACTGGCAAGCTGCTAAGCGTGTGTTAAGATATCTGAAACAAACAATGCATTATGCATTGTATTTGGAGCCTAAGGATGAACTAAGTCTAACTGCATACGCCGATGAAAGTTTTGCTACAGACGTAAATACACGTAAATCTACGTCAGGTACTATAGCATTATTGGGAAAGATATTGATTGGATAGAGGTCTATTCGACAGAAACATTTAAGTTTATCAACAACGGAGGCTGAATTCTCATGTTTGTCTTTATTATGTACAGATTTAGTTTGTTATAAGCAACTATTAATTGATATGGGAATTGATGTAGCAGATTCTACTGTTGTTTATGAAGACAACAATCAGCAATACAGATGGCTTCCAATCTTGCTGTTAAGAGAAGATTAAAACACACAGATTTAAGATATTTAAATGTGAGACAATGTGTTCAAAGTAAGATGATTAAGCTGGAATACTGTATGTCAGAAAATAACATCACAGATCATTTTATAAAAGCCCAAGGCTCTGTAAAGCATAAGGCTTGCTATGAGGATTATGGACTTAGAATGTAAGGTTGTATATATTGTCCTACCCAAAGGGGAGAATGTTAGGAATGTAAGTCACCTAACAGTTGGGTTGGAAAATATATAAACCAGGATAGATATTTTAATACTGTCTCTTTAAGGGAATACTAAAATTGTAATTGGGTGTGGTTCTTCAAGTGGCCATAAGATGGAGCCAGAAACCTGGGTTGGTCTGTTCTGTTGTTGCTGAGAGTGTTGCCGTCCCTGCATTTCCCTATTGACTGTTGCTGATCATCGTTGTTCTTGGATTTGATGTGAGTCTTTTACTGAACTGTTTATGATACTGGACTTAGTTATTGAATTATCCCTGGACTGAAAACTGACTGCTTTAACCATGAAAGACTTGGACTGTTTGTTGAATTTTGCTTAACGGTTTTACTGGAAGTAAAAACCTACATTTTACTATGCAGTGTATCTGTGTGCTGGCTGTGTGTTATTCTTCACCACTCTCACTACATCTCCCTGTTTGCGCTCATTCTCCTAACAGGAATTACCTCAACATGTGGGATCTGATATTAATCAGTGGACGGAGAGTCAGTGTGGTGTAGTGATTAAAGTGTTCCTATTGTAACTGGTGGTACTGAGAGTCAGTGGAGAATCCATAATCAAGTTGCTGTAACCATATAGTGAAATGAAAAGAAAAAAAAAACATTTGCCATTTAGAGATTTTGGGGGGGTGGAACCATTGCATTTCAATTTTCTCAGCATCCTTAACACTGTTTTATATTAAATTTGTATGTAGAATAAGTACAAATCACATCATAGGATGGGCTACACTTTTTCAGAGATAAATTTCATGTCCATAGTGCAATATTTTTAGGGGAGAAAAAGGAAGAAAAGAGCATGTCATCCAAAAACGCGAACTACGCAGAAGACAGGGAAGAAAAGAGGTGAGGAAAACAAGGAAAAGGAAAGAAGGTATAGTAGGTATGCAGTCCTTACTGCTTATTTTCACTGGCCATCGAAGAAATAGTATTTTAATAACTATAATTCTCTTACCAAGATTTAACCCAATCCACAAGAGCTTGCGGTAGTTCAGATTTTAAAAAGTTACTCCTTCAACACCTTCACTATGTTAGCATAATAATACTAGTGTAACAACCACATAACAATTAGTGCATGGAGAATATGTATATATACATACACACATACAGATTTCAAGCATATACAGTACTTTTTGTTTTCTTTTTTTTTTAAAGGAAGACTTACCCTTTTCACTGACACTTTCACTTTCTATTTCTACATCATCACAGCTGGTATATTCAGGTGTTGATGCTCCTTCTTCCTCAGAGCTGCTGACAGACATCTGTCTTTTTTTCCCACCACGTTTTGATCTATGAGGTTTTGGGGGAGAGGGTCGCACTGATTCTGACTGATCAGAACTAAGGGAATCATTTCTTAGCATGGTTTCTATTTTCTCTCGCTTTGCTTTCCGACTGAGAATTGCAGAGCTGGGATCTAAGCGAGTTTGTGCTTTAAAGGAATCATGATTTTTGGATTCTAAATGTTCTGTAAGAACCATGCTATGGCGGGGCGTTGATGGGGTATGAGAAATTAATTGTTTAGAAACAGAAATCCTGACATCACCTGTTCTTTCTATTGGATATGTCCTCAGGGCATCCACGTGGGATTTTATATCCTGAGTTCCTTGTAACTGTGAATGCTTTCCATGGTTATTCTCAGGCACCTCAGGCTCCTCAACTTCAGTATGAGGCAAGGCAACATCACTGTGTCTTCTCTCATGCCGCACTTTTGAAACTTTTGCATGCATGCGCATCTGCTGCTCTTCAGGATGGGGTTTCACAGGGTATCTTGCAAGATTTGGATCACTCCTATACCTGGTATATTCATCTTCTTTCCTCAGTTTTTCCTCATTAACTGTCTTGCCTTCCTCAAAATGGGGAGGGAAGTCAGAGTAGTCTTGAGACCTCCCTTTCTCTAACCTTCTCCCATCACGCCTTTCTTTACTTCCCTTCTCATCTGTTTGTCCTTCACTCTGCTGTAGTGAAGACTTTGGCACACGTTTGCGCTCAATTTTTATGCCTCCTTTTCCATTTTGCTCAAAAGCAGGGGGTATCTTCTTCCTGATATAATGAGGAGGTAAGAGAAAGTTATTTGTTTAGAAATTTTATATAGCTCCCCATCTTGAATACCTAACTCTGGGCAATGAGCAATCCAATTAATATAACCCCCACACACATACACCAACTGATGAAAATAATCCTATGTAAGCAAAAATAAATAACAATTCCATAGTAACAGATACATGTACATGCCCCTCCCCCTGGCAATTCGCAGGGGGGAAAGGCAGATTTTAACAGCTTTCTGGAAGGCCAAGAAGGATTGGGACAACTTGTTGCGGCCAACTCATCACGGCCATCTCACCGTTGCCAACTTGCTATAAACAACTCATTGCCACCAACTCACCATGGGACCCTTTGCTGTGGACAATTCCACATAGAATAACTCAGTGTGATAAATGTTTATCAATCACTGTTTCTTCGATATTATTTCCATTTTTGTAGAAATGGACAAAAATGAATATAATGTTGAAGAAACAGCAGCAGATAACATTTATTACATTTGAGTTATCTCATGTGGAATTGTCCCATGGCGAGTTGTCCTGAAACAAGTTGGCCACAGCGATTTGTCCCACAGCGAGTTGGCTATGGTGAGATGGCCATGGCTACGGCAAGTTGTCCTACACCAGGCCAAGAGAGTGGAACCATCTGAATTTCAGGGAGAAGCTGTTTCATATGGCAGATACAGCAAGGAAAGACACACTTCCTTAGTCCTGCGAGATAGTACTCTTTGATAGAGGGGACCAAGATTCTGCTAAAATTGGGTGGAACGGACAGAAGCTCTCAAAGACAGATGATCCTGCAAGTCACTTTGTAGGCTTTAAAACTGATGACCAATACTGTGAATTGGACTTGGAAGAATACTGTAACAGGGGCAGCCCATGCAAGTGTGGCCTTGCATAGACAAATTCTGGAGCACCCAAAACTGCACACTCCACTGCATTCTACATAAATAAAATACGAAGTTTAAATTATTTGTGTAAAATTATCTTAATGCTTGCCTGAAAATTAATGCTAGTCTGTAGCCAACTGATGCTATTTTGATGTATTTCTTTAAGCAAGAAACATCAGTTAGAACAGTATCTTCAGTGTTATTTCAGTGTGACTGAGCATAATTATTACTCAGATAGAAATTCCCACTTGTTCCTAATCCCGCCAAGCAACCATTGGATCTTCTAGAAACTCATTTCTTTCCTTTCTGGAAAAGAACATTAAGTTCCTGGCCAGCTGACCCACTTCTAGGAAGTGCATGGGTTCTAAAGAACCAATATGATCAGGCACAATATTCAGTCAGGATTTTGTTTAGTACTATTCGTAAATATGTTTTGGTCATTGGTAGGCCAGGATTTTTGACACAGCAATGTTTGGAAGGAAGGAGCAAGATTTGTTACCCCTTTCATACAGCAGAAGAAAATGTTGGATGCTGTTTTTAATGACTTTCATGACATACATCTGCATAGATGCAATTATCGAATTACATTCAGTTCAGTTCAGGACAATTCATTTTCTAACATCCTTAATTACCCATTTGTGGAAGGTAGAGTTGCTAAAATGTGGTACTATTTTTTAAATTAATCTTTAAAATATTTTAATTAGGCAAATATGCTATCTGGAATTCTGTATCTTAAAGTTATTCATTGGAAAATTATTATATGGATTATTGCAGTTCCTTATATTGGAACATTTCAAAAAATACCTGGAAAATGCAATAGTTCAAACTATGATAATGAACTTGCTAAAGAGATTGTTCCAATATAATTATGTCACATTAATGATTTATGAACTACAATTGTTCCAAAACTATTCCTAGACCAAATTTTACTTACTACTGTTAATTTTTAAAAACTAAATATGTTTGAACCATGTTTTCAGAAGGATTCTCTTCTCCCCTTTATAAATTGCCATGCCTTGAAATAGTGTTTAAAGGCCCTATTTCCAGAACCCCTATTTCAGAGTGGCAACAAATAGAAGGCCGATTATAAACTTATTTCCCTATAAATAATTTATCTGTAACTTTTACTTTATTATTTCTGGCCCTAGTAGATCTTTTTTTTAAATCAGATTTTATTGCTCTTAGACTGTTTGTATGATGATATCTGTTTTTATTTAATGATTTTAAGAATTTGGACGTACCTTGTCCATTTTCCATGGTTGCTTTATGAATGGTTACATGTAAATATTAATTAAATCTTAAATAATCATGTGCATAATCGGCCATACAGGTAGTTTTCGACTTACAAACAGTTCATTTAGTGACTGTTCAACGTTACAACAGCACTGAAAAAAGGACTTATGATCATTTTTCCACACTTATGACCACTGTAGCATCCCCGTAGTCATGTGATCAAAATTCAGCTGCTTGGTAACTAGTTTATATTTACAATGGTTGCCGTGTCTTGGGCTCATGTGACCCCCTTTCATGACCTTTGGACAAACGAAGTCAATGGGGAAGTCCGATTCACTTAACAACCATGTTACTCATTTAATATCTGCAGTGATTCACTCAACAACTGTGGCAAGCAAGGTCATAAAATAGGGCAAAACTCACTTAAAACTCACTTGTCTCACTTAGCAGCAAAAATGTTGGCCTCAATTGTGGTTGTAAGTCAAAGACTACCTGTATTGTTAAGCCATTCTGAATGCTAGTTTGAGACACAGGCATGGCTTTCTGGAGCACTTAGGATGCACTCTACAGATGTTCTACAGAGGCAATTATTATGACCACATTACAATATATTGCTTCAAAAACACACTATGTATGATTACTGGGGAAAAGATGTAAAGGAAATAAGGCATTATGGAGAGGAGTAAGAAGACAACATTAGCAAGATGAACAGTGGCTTTTCCTCTCAATTAAAAACATGGATTTTCTCAAGTCAAGCAATGTAAATTCTTGTGTTGATCATGTACACATATATTTGGGTGTGTGTGTGTGTGAGGAAACAGGTTGTTTTTCTCTTTTATTCCATCTTCTGATTTCTCCTAGGCTTGCCTTCTCTGCCCTCGCCCTTCTCATTTGATAGAAGAAGCAATTGGAATTCTTTCCTCAATCTCTGCTGAGTTTGTCAACAGTAACTGTTGAAGGCAGCCTCAGAGTCCTCCTCCTCTCCTATTGATGCTTCAGCCATTGTCAATCAACTTCTATTCAATCAACATTCATTCATTGACAATCGGCTTCTATGATAAAGGACAGATAACTTTCTTCATTTGCAATAAACTCTCCACGCTGCCTAATCTTATAGTTGTGGGTTTTCCCATAATTATTCAGGAAGAATCCATTAGCATCAATATTACCTCTCTCTTGGGGGTTCACTTCGAGATCTTGAAGCAGTTTGTTTCTGTTCCAGGCCCATAGTTTGTTGTGACACTTCTGGGGCTTTCCTTCTGTTTGCTTGCACACCAGAGGATATTTCTTGTGCAGTTGTGGCTGATGTGCTTAGGGGTATTTGAGATCGTGACCGTTCCTGAAGCCTGGCTTTCTTTTCTCTAGGAGATTCTGAACCAGCACCAGTAGCTGTGTCACTCAGTGTTCCATCATGACTGGATGGCTGTTGTGGACCACTCCCAAAAAACCATGCTCCAGATTTAGTTAGGATCTCTTGCTGCTTCCGGCATAAGTTGCATACCCACATAACCTAGTTATAAAGAAAGATAAACAGTCTAAATATCTGATATTGATTTTTAGGAACAAGTTTATCTATACAGTTACAAAGAGTAGCTTTTCCTTTGTGAAATTGTGTTGGATCACATTCTCAGCATAGGTTTATGCAGTATGCTACTTTAGCTCATTATAATCAAATAGAATATATTTAAATATTTGAGCTTTGTCATACCATACATTTAATATTCAAATAATTAGTGAGGTCAATTGTTACGACTAGGAATGAGGAGATCCAAATTCAAATCCCACGTGCTTATGAAAAAAAAAATAACTCCGCTCTAGGCACTACTGGTTATAATTCAAGGAAATTGCATGCAGAAGGTGCCTTAGTTCAAACCCTGGAATTTCCATGCACTAGATAATGTGAAAGACCTTCCTACCACAGATCTTGGAGTCCTGTTAGTCAAAATGGTCAAAACTGGGCTTGATCAGAAATTGTATACTATGATTTTTAAAAAAAAATTTTGAGGGTGGCATGGAATTAAAAATAAACTTGCAGTCACCCTAATTATGTAGTTGAATCATACTGATGAAGGATTAGAAAAGTTTGGGAGAATTAAAATAAGACTGATCTCAAGGTAGCAGGCATTGTTAATGTATTATGTGAAGTTAAGCTGATCTTTGGGTTATGGTATTCACATATCCATTTAGTTAAATTTACATCTAAATTAATACAGTAGAGTGAAATGCTTACACACACCCCTTCAATCAAACACCAAAGGTTTCTGTATATTAAAAATCAATCAATCATTTATACTTCTATCACTTCCAAATGTGATGGGCCTCAAGTCCACATTCAAACATTTAAATTTAATCAGTTGATTAAATTTAGAAATTTTATTTTAGAAAAAGAAACAAAAGCTCTGTCTTATCTAAGAAAAGATTTAAGAAGATCAACATTTCTTATCACAAGAATAATTATATGGTGCCACGACAATTTGACCACTCACCAGACAGTTTTTTTTAAAAAAGCTATTCTTCTCTCCCCCTTGCCATCCCAAATCAGAAATATTATACCTTATTTTAATATCGTATGCTAGCAATGTAGATCATGAATGTATCTATAAAGTCATGTCAATTATTTATGAGTAAATTAAATGGAAAATAGATAGTTTAGTAAAATGGGATAAATGAAAATAGATGAACATAATATGGCTTCTAAAAAGGAAAACTAGAGATATATTTATGATATATAATATCATGAAAAATTATTTCAAGCATTCATTGTAAAAAACAGCCAGTTGTTCATTAATGCAATTTTTATAATTCAAATACACTAAAGCAAATATTAATACTATAAATGCTTTTAAATATAAATATATTGAATTATTCCTGCTATTTACCAATGAGAAATCAACTGATAATGTGAAAAGTAATACCATTTTCCATTATATATTCTGAAATATGTAGTATAGACTCAATATAATTTGATTGTAATGCAAATGACAATTCTGTAACAGTCATTATAGGGATACTTGCTTTGTCAAGAAATACAAAAATGTTCAGACACTCCTGACAATAATAGTTTGAATAGAGCCAAATAAATAAAACCAAATAAGTCTTTAAGAACACGAGTAAAATATTTTTCAAACTAATCAGAAATGTATTATAATTTTATTTCACTACTTTATATTGACTATAATTAAACCAGATCTTATTATAGACTTCTATTAAATATTTATGATGCATGAAATGAAAAGTCAAATGTGTTTTTGTGTTGTTAAAGAACAAACTAACCAAATAAAACATTGTGTGTCTTTATAAACAGGATTCTCATAAAAATGCACAGAACAAAGAACTAAAAGTAACTTAGTATTATATTATACAAGCTGAAAAATCAAATTGAAATATGATTAATGATTAATCATTAGAAAAGTTAAAGTGTGAATCTGTATTTGAATTGCACATATAATATCTCATGACCCAGGGAATCGGTATCATCCAATTCTGTCAAATACCCAAAACCTAGTTTGACTGCTCGTGTGCAAGATACTATGATTTATTTCTAATCCAAATTAGCAAATTAAAATGGATTATCTCTTGTGCAGCTACTTGTGGGAGCTATACACAGTATTAGAAAAATAGATAAAATCTAAACCTTATATATATTATTATGAAAAACTCTAATTTTAACATGTTTCAATATAACATTCAGATAGTATTTATCCAATATTTTAGATTTATTTCTATATGTTAGCATGTTTTCATACCACCATTCTATCAGTGTGAATAACTATCTACAAAATAACTAAACCAGTCATTACTTAAATATACATTTAACAACAGAGACACAATAAAAATTCCACAAACTAGAAATGCAAATGCCATGCTTACAGCTATTAATCGGAGCATTTACACACACATACCATCTATTTTAAATGAAAAAAATCTACCTTATACTCACATATTATTAATTCTGCTTAAGAATATCATCAGAACTTAGTTACTGAGTCTCTATATATTCAATTGAACTATATCTGCCCAGATGGATAGGGTGGATAGAGACAAAACCCTTATTCAAAAAGAAAAAGAAAAGAATGCAAAATAAATCCTTGAAGTGATATAATGATGTTGGTAAAAAAGCTGCTTACTGGAAAATATTTAGTAGGGCAGTCTGTAGTACAAGCAATCTAAGCAGCATGCAGGAATTATATCCTGATTGAAAATACTGGGCCATAATCCAAACTAATCTAAATTAAAGCAGGCCTGTGTAATAATTTATTTTAACAGTCCACAGATGTTAAACCACCAACAAAAATACTGATGAAAGATTATAATCTTTTCAAGAAGCTTTTGAACAAAACTCAACAGAATCTGAATAAAAAAATTGGCTGCTGCTGCTATTATTATTGTTGTTGTTATTGTTGTTGTTATTTTTGTTCCCAGTAACTCAATAGATGGCTAGAATATGTGTGCAATTCACTCTTTTTCTCACTTGTTCCTGATGCAGCATTCAGATAAATTCTTTCATTTTATAACTGTGCAGATCAGAAGCATTGCAGCCGATACATAGAACTGCACTGCTAGCATGGTGAAATATATCAGTCGGTGCACAACCAAACAAGAATTGTTCATGTCCAAACTAAATTCAAGCATACAGGATTCTACTGTGCCAGCATCAAGAATTCTCACACAAGCCCATTCTTAAAGTACATTACAGGGTGAAAAAAAAATCATGCTTCTGAAGACTAAAAGCTTGAGTTCAGGTGAACAGCCCGTGGTGCTTCAGTAACATCTACATATAAGTGGCACACTTACTGTCTCTGGCCCTTCCAACAGTGGTCCATGGCTAGCGGATACATTATTTCTGTCCTAATACAACATGAAGACACAACTTGAAAATGATTGCAGAGTTATGACAAAAGCATACGACATAAGCAAAAGAGCATATGCAGGTTTACGTTCAAATGCTCTATGCACAAATTAGAATTAAATAAAACATAACATTTAATTACCTACTCTGTTGGTTTATAGAAACAGTCTATAGCATAGCATTGATGGGAATCTTTTGAGATGGGAATCTTGTCAGACGGGATAGCAATAGCATTTGGACTTACATATTTCTTCACAGTGCTTTACGGCCCTCTCTATACAGTTTACAGAGTCAGCCTATTACCCCCAACAATCTGGGTCCTCATTTTACCGACCTGGGAAGGATGGAAGGCTGAGTCAACCCTGAGCCTAGTGAGTTTTGAACTGCCAAACTGCTGGCAGTCAGCAGAAGTAGCCTGCTATTCTGCATTCTAACCACTGTGTCACCATGGCTCATGTTATTGATCTAATTCTTGCTCCCTGCTATGATTTTGGTTTCAATGTAGTTGCAAGTTAGATCCATTTAATAAAAGGATTAGATGAAGAAGAGGTTGGGTACTCATATCTTCCCCTCATCTTTCACTGCCTTTGTTTGGACAACACAAAATTTGGAAACAGGCTCAGCTGCTTCTTCAAGCTATGGGGGAACAAAACATATCCCCATCCAGCTTGCCTGTGCTTGAATGTGTTCTATTACACCACATTCAAACAAGGCAGCAATTTCAGAACAAACATTATGCAGTTTGAAGTTCTGCTGAAGCTCTAAGAATCAAAGCGATTATTTATGAAACTACAAATAGTCCTTGATTTACTACCATAATTGAGCCTGGAATTATGGTCATAAGTCAAGACATCACATGTCTAGATTCAAGTTACAACTGCATTTTAATAATGGTCATTAAGTGAACGCGATAGTCATTAAGTGATTGTTACGCAAATCCATTTTCCCCAAAGGGCATTTTTTTGCCAGAAACTAGAAATAAACATAGAAAACCCACAAAAAAACTTGAAAATTGTGGTCACATGATTGCAGGACACTGCAAACAGCCATAAAGGTTAGACATTTTCTAAGCTTCCAAAATGCAATCACATGACCAAAGGTCATAAACAGTGCTGGGGAAGTTGTGTATAACTTTGAACAGTTGTTAGATAAGATGTAAGTCAAGTGACCTATATTATTATGCGACCTGTACTATGAATCAGTAGTCTGTACTATGAGTACAGGCCATTGATTCCAATACATTTTATGCAGAATATGTCTTCCACACAGCTTTTAGCTATGTTATTACTTTACTATACTAAGCAAAATTAGTAAAGTGCTATTTAATTTAATGTAATCAAACTAAAGAAGGCCAAAATTGGGCAGAATTTCTTTTCATGACTATTTGGAGAATTTACATAACTGATGGCAAAATGCACCACGTTATAAAGTATATAAAGCAGTTTTGTTATAATGCAAGGATTTGATGCCAATATTTCCTGATTATGTTGATCAAGGTGA